ATCAGGAGTGCGTAATGCAGTCAGTGGAGGGATTAGGAGTGTAAACCGCAGTGCAGTGGTCAGGAGTGCATAATGCATAGAATTCAGGGGTCAAGAGTGTATAACACAGTGCAGGAGTTGAGTGCGTAGCGTGGTGCAGGGGTCATGAGTGTATATTGTACAGTCTAATGTACATAAGATTCATAATCTTATGTACCAAAAGTTACCCTCTTCTGCCCTTACTAATCCTCTCCAAGCCTAATTGCCCCAAATAAAGACCTCCCCAATACAGACTCTTCCCCAGGTCAACCCCCTCAGTACTGGACCTCTTCCAGTAATGAACCCCCAGCTCACCCTCTCACTATAGACCCCTCCCACTCCCTCACTACAGGCTTCCTCAGTACAGACTCCGCCTTCCAGCTCATACCCTGAGTACATACCCCCTTCAGAGCAGGCCCCCCAGTACAAACCTTTGATTTTCTCTGCCAACAGGGATTTTCTCTGCCAACAACTCACTGTACAAATTTTAGCGGGTTCATCAAGAATTGGCCGAAATTTGCACAGTGTATGGCCAGCTTTACTCTCTTGTGTCATGCACAGAGGGCTATTATGTCTGGATGGGGATTCCTGTGCTAAGAACCTGCGTACAGATGCGGTCACTGTGCTCGCTCAAGTGAACCACATCCTGAAAGTGGCTGCATCTGTACGTAACCAAAGTAAGAAAGCTTATAGTGTAGAACTATCACCAATGACAACAGCAATTTCTACAAAACACTAAAACAAACAAACAAACAACATCCTGTTATCATGATCTAGCATAATAGTGTTATACAATCTATTTCAAAGTTCATGTCATAGCCAGTCACTTAAAACTTAATAACATTGCAAAGGTGATTTAAAGGAGAACTATGGGGTCAGTGTTTTTCCCCATAGTTCTCCAAAGGGTAACGGGAGGACACAAACTAGCATCCTCCCGTTACCCTAAGCTCAGTATATGGCGAGCTACAGCTCGCGGTATACTGAGACGCCGCAGCCGGGACGGATCACGACTCTTTTGACGGGATCCGCCCAGCTGCGTGAGTGACAGCTGGCTCTGCCTATCTAGAGGCAGAGCCAGCTGTACCCGCCCCCTCCCCCATCCATTCCGCCAGTCAGCGCTGGCAGATGGGATCGGTGAGAGGGGAATGCAGCCCCTCCCCCTGTCACGGCAGAGAGCCGTGACAGGATCGAGAGGTGAGGGAACCCGGTATGTGTTCCCTCACCTCCCGTTCTACTGAGCCGACCTGTGACAGTCTCATTGTCACAGGTCGGCTTAGAACTATGAGATGAGTGGAAATCACTCATGTCATAGTTCTCCTTTAACAGTTAATGAATAATGCTATGTAGGTGCAGATGTATTCCAGATATCAGATTGTTTAACTGTGAAAATGTAAATCCTTTGTAAAGTAATGATATCCAAAAAACCTCCACCTTTTGCCTCTCACCTGGTGGTTGGACCCAGTGTTAAACTAAAGTCAGAAGTCACTTGTTTCCCTTCTGTGGGGAATTCATGCAGTGCTCTTCCTCTAGAACCTTAATTTCTGCTGATGAATAACCTGAGATCAGATTTGTGCTTTTTCCTCTCCTATGAGCGATTGCTGGAGTGATGTTCCTCTGATGATTTAATCCATCTCATTGAGTGTTATTCTCAGGAAAGAACATATAACACAAACATAGTGCACTCCGTCTTCTAAAATGGGTTTATTAAAACTAACTAAAATGGCCAGTTTATAAACAATGCGCAAAAAAATGTGTTATAAAGCTGTAACAAGATGACGTCATGCCCAACATTGCGTCCAATTACTTCTTCAGGGATGATATAATCTAAATTGTCTTTTGCCTACCCCATTGATGTTCACACCACTGAAGATATTTTTGTCATCTACTGACCCTCCTTCTCACATGATTTTCTCTTTCTATGGACTGCTGTGGGGGAAAGGGGGAAACGGACAGACTGGAGGACGATCCCCATTTGAGATGAGATGGGGGTTCTTTCTCAGGAGACGCTTGGAAAAAATGTCATATCTTAACTCACAAGTTATGTCCTCTTACATGCAGAAAAAGAACTATAAGATTGTATTTCTTTGGCATCGTAACCTTCAGGAACTTCACAGAATATATCCATCTGTATCACATCATGGATGGAAATGCTCCGGGGGATGTGGGCTCTTATCTTCATGTGTGGTGGAGTTGTTCTGCAATCACTGGGTTTCGGAACTTAGTTTTTACCTGCTACCGCAGTACAGTATGTGTATTTCTAATATCGGGCCCTTCCTCATAGTGGCTTTCCTGTCAATATCAGGTCCCCTCCCCAAAAGTAAGAAGGGTGTTTTGTGCCACTGCCTACTGGCAGCCAGAGTGGATATTTCTAGACATTGGAAATGTTGGAAATTCTAATGTTTTTATAAACGGTGCGATGTCTGATGTTCCCACTGTGGGAAAGTGTATTATGTGTCTTGAATTGGCATGAATACTGACGTTGTAAAGGGTAAAGTGCTCGCCAGAGGTTGTGGAAACCCAGTGCAGAGCTCAAATTACTAAGTGATGTGAATGTCCCAGGAGAGTTAGCATCTTTTACCGAAACTTTATGTAAAAATGGGTTTAAAAAATTGTTAAAGTGTCCCCCACAACAATGACAGGAATAGGTCAGCCAACACTATGAGCAAGGAAGAAATACTGCTTATGACCTCACTTCCTTGTTTCAGGAGATGAAAAGCCCAGGCCTGTGGCTGCCCTTGGAGGACAGAGATTATGAATCCTGCCTTAGTCTGTCCATTGTTGAAGGTCTTGGATTGCAGGGAGAAACAGAGTAAACAGACACTGTGAAAAACCCAGAACTGACTCCAGTCACTGGAAAAATGTGGCTGATGAGGAAAAAGCTGGAGCAGGAGACGGATGAGCGTAGGGCAAGGTTGAACTGAATAAGGACTCAAGGTAGCCCTCAAACTAGAAAAACCCTCACTGAACCTCTTGCACAGATATTTTGAGCTCAGCAATTTGTTTACACAATTGGTCAAGTGGGGAACTGTCTCCCATAGCCAGTTGCATGACTGTAATTTCTCTTAGGGAGACACCCCCTGGCAGGTGACCTGGGTCACCTGAGGCTAAGCACCAGCTGGTCTTCGCCAGGGCTCCTGATAGTGGAAATGGGCTTCATGCTGCAGGCTGGTACCAGGTTGCAGTCCTCAGGATCACCACACCAAGGGATGGGTGAGGACAAGAAGGTTATGGAGTGGAGATAGTAGACAGAGCAGTAGGCCTGCAAGTGATGAAGATCAGACAAGGATCTTTGTAGGGGACAAGCAGTGTGGGTCAGCAACCAGTAGGCAGCAAGCAAGACAGGAGGCAAGAGCGTGGTCGGGTACAGACAGGGGTTGTGGCAGGTGGCTGATCGGCATCTTCCCACACTTGTGGCCATACTGTCTCATGCTATTCAGACTGGATTTTGCCAGTGACATAGGCGGCCAGACTGGCTCTACCTCCTAGAGGACTGCCCACCACCATGCATCCGGGGGTGGTGGTGGCCTGCCTTACCTGGACTACCTTGATACCCACCTGTCAGGTGGAATCCCATCTTACACTACTCGCATTTTGTCCCAGTATGTCAAGGAATGGCCAGCCAGAATTTCCTAGACAGCTGTAAATAAAGTTGTCTCTGACTGATGTAAAGGTATTTTTTATGCCCTCTCATGTAACTCTGCTCCCAAACCCGACTTCTTGGCAAAGCCCCATCCAATGGTAAGTAGAATAAAAATCTTACCTAAAAGCCCCTTTTCCTCAACTAAATCTGTGGCTATGTGATATTTAGGTCCTGGGTTTTTTCTCTTTATCTGTGCACAGGAGGTGGGGTCCATCTTCGGGTGCCAATGTCACCACCTGCATGATGTAGAAACTTCCCATTGACTGTTCAGTGCTGGGGTCCACTGAGGATTTGGAATAGAGTCTGCAGTCTATAATGTCAGCATATGGTAACAATCATGGACCGCCCATCGTGGACCTGTCATGTAGCACTACATTACTGGTCCCTGCATTACTTGCCCCCGTGATGGACTACAATCTCACATTTAGTTTACGAATTTGTACTGAAGTTATAGTCTATCACGGGAGTGAGCTTGGCGTGGTGTCTAATTTATTAGACACACAGGGATCAAGGGGAACAAAAGTAGCCACCCTCCAAAAGGAAGGACAGTGTCAGCACTAATTCAGAGATGATTTGATGATCTACAGCTGTGTTATGCACAAATAAGATACATTTTTGTTAATACTGTAGTTAAAGTAGTATTAAGGTCTGGGCGTTTTTTACCTTAATCCATTCTCTGCATTAGGGTAAAAACAGCCCAGCACCATTTTTTTACCCCTGTCTCCCCCACACTTACCTCTCAGCTGTGCTCGTCCATGCCGTCGGTCCCGAAGCGATCATCCGTACCCCGAACTTCCGGGTTGCAGGGGAGGATACTGATGGCAGAGGAGCCATAGGCTCCTTCTGCCATCAATCAAAGGAGGAAGGGGCGTGGCCTGCCACAGGGCTCTGTGTGTCTATGGATGCACACAGCCGCTGCGGGGACGAGCGGGACGAGTGCGCACGGGTGCCTCCATTAGAACGATGGTGGCACCCGTGCAGGGGGCGGGGAGAAGAGCATGGCGGGGACCCACTAGAAAACGAGGAATGAAGAACTTTAAAAAAAACAAAACAACAGCCTCCAGCAAAGGAGGGTCTCTTTAAAGGAGAAATGAAAAAGAAAATTGGCTTTACTATCACTTTAAGGTTCTTGAATGCATTTGTAAGATTTAACACCTGAGTTTAGTGTCACTTTAATTGACAGAATAGGAGAAAACAGAGGTTCTGCGTTTATTCAAAGTTCTTTTACTACATAAGTGCAGCCGTTAAGGGTTAAAGTTATAATACATTAGTGACAGAAGTCCTTTTCAAAAGTATATCTAAGCCGTGTGCAAAGCATCTTCCCCTCCTATCCCTGCCCCTCCCAATACTGAACAAAAACAGAAGCTGAGTTGCTGTGAACACACTGTTGTTGAAGTTCACTACATCATCAGCATCAACATGCCTAAGTGTCCTAAGTGCCAGAAAGAAGTGTACTTTGGTAAGTAGGATACACCACATTATAGACTGTATCTGATAACACTCTGTCGGGATATGCTGCAAACTTTAGCTTTTATAGGTTTGAATATATATTTTAAACCGTTTAAAAAAAATATTGATTGCTCTGGGTAACTGTACTTTGGTTATCATCATTGTTAATTGCAGAGCCTTGGAAAATAATGCTAATGATTATGCGAATAATTGATGTGAAATATAAGACTCCAATTTTTTTAGGAAATGGTTCTTTAATGATGCACCATAAATTGCTTGTATGTTCTGTTCTGATTATACTCAGGATTCAAACTCACTGTGACAGTGCACATGATGCATGGTTAACATCTAATAAAGTAAGGATGACGTTGTGAAATGCTGCGCACATCCAAAATGGTGAAAGCACTGTCTGAGTTGCATTCCGGATGATGTCAAATGTCACTCGGAAGTCTTGTTCTATAGCCAGCGCCTTACCAATCTCAGCGAGCAAAGACAACTTTTATCATCTGTGTTTTCTAAAACCAACTGCATATCTTATGCTAGATGTTCAACATTTACTAATAAATATGTTTTGTTACAAACAGTAACATATTTTATTTTCATAGAGAAAGATGAAACTGGTTGCTGTAGGATATAGAACTATTTTTTTTTCTTTGCTCCAGTCTTTATAATCTAGCCTTATATGAATTTATTTAAAGAAGAACTCCGGGTAAAGAAAACAAATCCTGCACTGCAAGGGTTAAGTGCTTGTTTGTCTAGGGGGCTCAAATAAAGCTGTATTACTCACCTGATGGTCGGTCCCCCAGTGGTCAGCGCTCACCTCCCCCTCCCTCTGCTCAGGCTATGATATGTCCCTTGGCATCCTCACTTGTAATGCAGGTTATTGGACACGCATTAGACATGATGACAGCAGCAGTCCGTAGACCACTGGAGCACAGGGGGAAAAAAGAGTCTGCGGTGACATGTCTAGCAGCCTGGAGGGAGCACTTAACCCTTGCAGTGCAAGGGTAGTCCCACTGCAAGGATAAACGTTTTTTGTTTAATAAAATAAGCAATGACCATAGCTACTAATCAGATTACAATAGCTTGTTAAAGCTATACTAGTAAAAGCTAGTTTCCGTGTGATTTTGATTACTGACCTGAAAGAGCACCATTGCTCTTTTATTTACGATGTTATGGGTACTTATTGTTTAGCAAGCCATTTCAAATAATCATAAAAGCAGAAAAAAAAGTTTATAAACAGACAAAGTGCTTGTAAATACTTTTAAGGACGACTGTTAAGGTGAGAAATACCCAGTTTGCTTTGCTGATTTATTTTGAATATTCTGGTTCCACGCAGTCATTGCACACACTGGCTTCAAACGTTTTCTGTCACTTATCTGTAACAGGTATGAAGATCAGAAATTCTGACTAAACATTGACATCCTGTGCTGCTTGCTTGTTCTGAGTCAGTGATTAAAGGAGAATTTTGGGGAGAGTGATATACACTCATCCCCATAGTTAGAGCCGACGTGTGGCACTGAAGCTATCTCACGTCGCCTCTATTGATTGAGAATTGAGCGATCACATACTGCTGATCACTCAGTTCCCAATCTTCTCCCTGCAGAGAATGGTGATTGACAGCATACAGCCCGCTATATGCTGAGTTTTGGGTCACAGGAGGACATTAGTATATGTCCAACTGTGACCCTGAAGAGAACTATGGCAAGAAAAGGTTCCGAGTAGGGAAGCACGGGCTCTGAGTACTTAACTATGCAGTGCATTAAGGACAGCACATGCCCACGAGGAGTGAGCATGCAAAGGTGGCTCCTTGAGAGTTTGTAAGGGAATGGAGCCACCTGAAAACAGCAACCAGGGAGAGGACGATTTTCAGAAGAGGATTTAAAAGCACCCACAGAATTAAAAGATAAGCAGACATGCCTACATGGTAAATGCTGAGGTTTGCAGCACGTTATGCTTTTATTAAATTAGGATTTAATTTTACTTTGAGGGGAGCCTCCATGATTCTCCGTTGACAGCGCTCTTTAAATCACACCACCACATGACACAGTGCATTGTGTATCTGACACACTTTGGGTTGCTTGGTTTTACTTGTATTATATTTGCTGTCACTGGGAGGCCTTCCTTGGTGGCTGGAGACAGCTGACATATTTGCGGTGTAGATTAGGTTGCCCTTTATGTAGACAATCAAAGTGTCTGATCACTTCCACTCAATGGTGAGGTTTTAAACAAGGAGTAACCAGAAGCAGGTTGTTCACTATTGTAAATGTGCCTGTATTTCATCATTATTCACTAGATGTGTAATTGTTTTATATATGACCCTGTGTCTGTACAGATATATCACTACATATACTGCCTTTGTGGTCTGTGTTTGCAGGATTTGATGGTGTATAACATGTCTCTGTAATATCAGTCCCTAGAGGGAAAGGGTTTATTCGCTGTGATCTTTGTGATTCATGTAATTATTTCACAATCGTGTTACACAAGTTCAAGGGAAGTTCAGCAGCCACACCTAGTTGACGCTGTCTGCATTCTTGTACGACAAATAAAGGGGATCAGAGGTTTCTTTTATGAATTTTATGGTAGTGCAACAGTGCTTCTTAGGAGGAACATACGTTACTTATCTGCAAAACATTTTTTCATGCTTTAGAATTTTATGAAGTTTAACTGGCAACAGTCAGTTCAGATTAGCTCATAGATCATGCAAATCTTTAGTCGATGTGCTTGGAACTGAGGATGTAATAATTTTGTCAATTGTATACAATATACTGTGAAGGGAATTTATCACAACTGGAGCAGACAAAATCTGGAGCAGCTGTGCCTGGTGACCAATCAGCCTCTCTCTTTTAATTTCAAATCTTAACTGAACAAACTGAAGAGAGAAGCTAATTGGTTGCACACACAGCTGCCCCAGATATTGTCTGCTCCAGGTTTGATAAATACCCCTCGTATGCCTTCCTAATTGGAATGCACAATGTACATAAGACTCTACTTCAAACTTAAAGACACACTAAACTCAGGAGTTAGGGCCAGTTCACACCAATTGCGGTGCGTTCCAGAGCGGTAGCTGCTGGAACGCATAGCAATCGCACACTAAACTCCCCCCTTCGCTCTGGGGCGTGGCGGTGCATTGAAGTCAATGGCACCGCAGCCAATCCCCCTGCCCGCAGTGCGATTAGGCGCATGGCAAGACATTGCCTGCATTCTGGTCCACTGCGAACACAAAAAAATGCTGCTTACTCTATTTTTTTGCAATGTTTTGCCACGCGTCCAATCACACTGCAGGCAATGTGGCTGCGGTGCCATTGACTTCAATGCACCGCCACACCCCTCCCACCCTCGAATGAAGGGGGGAGTTTAGTGTGCGATTGCTGTGCGTTCCAGCAGCTACCGCTCTGGAAAGCACCACAATTGGTGTGAACTGGCCCTTAAATCTTAAAAATGCATTAAAGTACCCTAAGGCCCCATTCACACCTATGCGTATTGTAATAGTCGACCGTCACGCAATTCCAAAGGCTACTTGGCAGTATCCAAATGGAAAACGCCCTACAAAATGGACCAATACGCAGCAAAAACGCTCCGGGACCTTTTCATGCGTGGGCCGTTTTGTAGTGCGTTCGGGACGGGCGGAAATACGGACAGGTGGGAACGATACCATTGACTACAATGCTATTTATTTTTTTGACCGTTTTGTAGAGCGTTCATCGAGCGTAGGACGCGCTACAAAACGGTCAGGTGTGAATGGGGCCTAAGCATTAACAAAAATGTGCCTTATTTGTGTATCACTCAGCTGTTGATCCTCAAATCATCTCTGAATTAATGCTGACACTGTCCTTCCTTCTGGAGGGTGGCTACTTTTGTTCCCCATGGTCCCTGTGTGTGTTGTAAAGTAGCCGCCACTCCAAACTCAATCCTGTGATGGATTACAATCTCAATACAAATTAGTAAACTAAACATGAGATTGTAATCCATCACAGGAGGGAGCTTGGAGTGGCAGCTACGTTACAACACACACAGGGACCATGGGGAAAAATGCAGGATTTATTTAACTGTGCATCTTCAGCCACTCCCACTGTCAACACAATTTAGCCATGCTCGTGATTTGCCACGGAGCTCTGCGTGCACCGCAGTATTTCACTGCTTGTAGATAAACGTATGGAAGATAAACGTCTGCTTTATCTTCCATACGTCGGTGACCAACTGTTTCAGGGCATGCTAAAAATGAGGGTATGATTTTGTGGATGTGGCTACAAATGGAATTGTGGTTTTAATAGGAGTGGTTAAACGTAGGTGTGGCAAGTAGGGTGTCCCCGGATTTCATTTTGATATCTAGTAACCTTACTCTACAGTGACATGTGGTACTGACTGATGCTATCTGATGTTTAATAGCGAGTACTGATTCATCAGAACTGCTGTTTTCCCTTTCTGTAATTTTTTTTTCCACAAACCGGACAGAGCTTTCTGCCCTTGGTGTGTTTCCACATTATTTACATCTAATTCCTACACCTTAGGTGACTTGAGTTCTCATGCTTCGCTACTGTTGGCTTGTGTTCTCATGTTTAGCTATTGTTGACTTGTGTTCTCATGCTTAGCTATTGTTGACTTGTGTTCACATGCTTAGCTATTGTTGACTTGTGTTCTCATGCTTAGCTATTGTTGACTTGTGTTCTCATGTTTAGCTATTGTTGACTTGTGTTCTCATGCTTAGCTATTGTTACTTGTGCTCTTATGCTTACCTCCTCTTGGTGGTGTGTTTTTACAGTATAATGTCCTATCTCCTTCTCTGTCTTGCATTGTTTGTATTTGAAACTCTGTGAGCCCACGGGTTCTGCACGTCTGTTGCTTTTTGGGAGTTCAGCCCAGGCACTCTCAGCATTCTTTTTCCTGCATTAATATCCCACTATTCACTGTTCTGTCTCTAATACGTTTATCATACAGTGCTCCAAATCCACATGTTGCAACTAGCTGCCTCAGCTGTGTGACAAATCGGTCTATGGTCTTTTACAGTCT